GTTGCAGTTGTTAATATTGAAGCCACAAGGAATGCTGTTGACAAATTCATTGCTGGAGGACCTTTTACTGGTTGAAGGGACTACAGCATCTCCGCCTATCAACACCTGTTTCGCCATTTTCATTTTATTGTTTAAAGAATCTTCAATGTAGGACTCGGCTACCACTGACGACTTCCCTCCTCCATGGTGTTTTATATTTATCAAGTCTGCACCTTCATTAGCCAAAAGGGTGGCGGACGATTGACGAAGACAGTGTCCGGTGTAGGTGCACGTATCTGGTAATTTCAAAAATGTTGCTACTTTTTTGGGAACCTGGCCCAGAATATTTTTGCCAACAACTTGGGACGTACATTTCCCATTTTTATAAAAAACGAAGAGTCGACGGTGTTTCGTATGTGACGGCCTCAGAGACAGGTATTTTTTAAACAATTGTAGAAAATTCACTGTTATTTCTTCATTATTCAGAACAGTAAATATTCTATCAATTTTGTTCTTCGTGTTTCTAACTTTCACAATTAGTGCGGATCCTACATCGTCAATATCATCAAGGGTCATTTGACATAATTCTTCCCTCCGGCATGCCCCAGCAATACCAAAAATTACAGCTACCTGCAATTGTAAAAATACAATAAATGTCAAAAATTTGACTTTTTGCTCACTTTTATCATCAAAAAATTTTCGTCCGGAGCTTCCACAAAGAATTTAATAATTTCTTCCCTGGTAAGTATTTTGGATTTCTTAGGTTATATCCTTCACTCTGTCGCTTGAGAAAGGCAAATAACTTTTTGAATTGACTTATATCAATGTTTTCTTTTGCTACCAAATTGGCTCGGATCATTGAGTACTTTGACCAGAGCGATGACGGTTTATACACTTTGCACATATACTAGCATACTATCTTCAGTTGCAGCTTGAACATTATTGTCTTTACACCACTTTACAAACTCATTGTAGGTCTTTTCATATAATGCTCTAGATTTCGCCGGTAAAAGATTCAAAGTAATTTTCTTCGCTTGCTCTTCTATTGATGTGACACAATTGGCGGCACAATCGTCTTCATTCATACTCTTATTTGGTCACTTCCGCACTTTTAAAAGCAAAACACCAAACGTGAACGCGTTTTCAAAGTTTTTTTTGTTGATAGGTGTTGCTTTAGTTACGAGGATTTGTTACCTCAATGATAAATTGATTTCAGTAGAAGGGAAGGGTTCTTTTAATTATTTTGTGTTTCAAACAAAAAAATGTCGATCGTACATAAAGTTTTGTATGCACCTCTGGCGTAAGCAGCGTCTTTAGCCCGCGGCGTGGAGGTTAGAGCAAGAGGGCTGAAAGCCCGAGTGCTCTAACTTCCACGCCCAGGGCCAAAAACGCCTTTCTTACGCCCTTGATACATAAATAACTATTACTATCATTCTTATATTGAATATTTTTAGGTTGCAGTGTCATTTGAAGCCACAGATGCACAAAGCGTTAAAAAAGCTCAAGAATTCCTGAATAAAGCAAACGTTAAAAATGAACTATTGTACATTAAAACTCACTTTAAAATTATTGCAATAGAACAATTAGAAACTATAGGTTTAAAATTAAACCAGTGTATGGAAATTGTGGAAAAAGTGTGTATCTTTAAAAAACACACCAGGAAAGGTGGGGGAAATGGCGTTCCAATGTTCTCTATTAAAAAATAATCCAGGATGCGATTTTATATGTTCAGTAAATAACGTAATTTGCGGTAATGGAAATGCTACCAACAATACATACATAAATGAAAACGTAGATTGTTCAATATTTAATTTTGCGCCGATCACTTCTTGTGATGTGGAACGCACGTTTTCAAAACTCAAGTGTTTTAAGCGATCAAAGGTGTACATTTACAATCGAAAATTTAGAGAAATATATATAGTTTGCTTTTGTAAGTCATTTTAAATACCTGAATTATTATTTTATTTTTTGTTAAATGCGACTTGCTTTAATTTGATCGCCATTTTTTTTTTGCGATAACTTAGAATTAGTGGACGTAACTATAGATCGTTTATTTATTTAATAATTTTTTTCTAACACTGATATTTTAAATCGTTTCTAAGATTCATTTAAACTCGACCATTAAGTTATCTATAAAATCCACTGTTCTTTATAAAGTACGTCGTCAATGGTAACGTCCTTTATACTATTTAAAGTACGCTGCTTCATTTTTCGTAACATTTATTTATTGAATACAAAACTACAATTATTAAAATATAAATTTCCATTACTCTTGAAGGGTGAATTCGTGTTGTTGATTTTGATTGTCTCTACTACTTTCGAAGGCGGAATCCAGCTTTGTACATCTAATCTGGTTGCTGACCTCTACATTGGAATCGTCGCTACTACTGTTTAAAAAATTTAAAAATGCTAAATGTATAGGTGATATTATGATAGATGAGCATAAACCCAGCATAAAACTGGTACTTACGCTTGCATCAAGGAAAGTCCGAATAACGTCTTCCGTCAGTTCTTTTACACCTTTTTCTGACGTCCACTGATTAAAAGCCACGCGCACCTTCTCATAAGCGTTTTTTGATTTTGCGGGTAATAATTTGGTGCGTAATTCATTGGCTTTTTCTAATATTTCGATTGAAAGGCGTTCACACATTTTGACGAATAAAATTTTTTTTCAAAATTTGTTCTATTACCATGACTACTACCCACGGCAGCCTCAAGAAACATTTTGCCTCACTAAAAATCTCCCGATAAAATATTAATAACAGACGATTTCGGATCAAATAAGCTTCAGTGTTAGAAAAAATATTGAAGATTACACGGTGTTTTATAGTTGAAAGGACTCGGTCCCATTAAAACCTCGCTCCCTTCGGTCGCTCGGATTTAAACTAGAACCGCGTCCTTTAAAGCACCTATAAAACACCTAGTTATCTTAATAGCTATAACATAGACAAACATAGTCATACGGTCCGTGTGATGTTGTCATATTCCGTCGACTTTGAGGTGGTTTCTAACATAACTCATCCCTCTTTAAGTCGGCAAAAAAGACTGAAGGATTGTTGTCTTGGGACGATCTCTAGAGTTGATGTATGTATAAGAAATCAACAAGCAATAGCTTTATTCCCGTTGATAATGTGCTGCAAATATATTTTTTGCATTCATGACCTTTGCTGATGACTTTCGCGCATTCACCAGGATACGGGGGGTCGAACTTGCCGCACACGTGCTTTTTCCTTTCCGTTGCTATGGTAACCTTAAAATAGCCTGAAAACGTCAAATTGCTAAGTGATTACGGCGCCGTCAACGTCGTTGTTTATAAATAACTCACAGTTAATCTTTTCGGTTTAAAAGTTTATTCGTTGCAAAAAATATTGTACACAACACTCTTGAGGAGCCTGCGTCCCGCAACCGTTCACGCAGAAAGTAAGCTATCCCGAACTATTAGGCAGATAATCTCCAAAACTACCGGACCGACTGTATTTTATATGTATGTAAAATATTTATAATCGTAAATTTTATAAAATAGCATACTCTGGTATTTGTTTGATTGTATACAAATTCGCAAAATCTATTTTTTTTTATTTTTCAATGAAGCGGGATTTGTGGCACTGCACTTCGGGGGCGAGGGAAGTTCTGTCGAAATAATTTTTGACAAATTTTTTTAAATTGATTTTATTTTTCTGTGTGATTTAAAAATCCAAGAGTAAACTGAAACATTTTTATTACTGTAATATATAGTACGTCGTTGTTAAATATTTAATAATTACAAATGAACAATTATAAATTCTTGGGTGGTGGCTTGCCGGGGCCAAGAGCTCTATGTGCAAATGCCAAATCTGATACCAAAATGTGTCGTAATAATAAAAGTTCATGGATTACTTTTTTAATGTGACTACTTTTTACTGAGTTGTCCTGTATGTCCATATGCGGTAAGTTGAGAAGTATGATGTACACACATCGAATCCAGATACAACGTGTTACAGAAAAAAGTATATTAACTTTAACCACGAACAGAACTCGTGAACAGAAAACATTTTTCTATTTGGCATTTTTTCAAAAATGCCAAAAATTTTTTTGTTGCAGTTTTACCCCCCCATTATTTAACGAGCCGGCCATGCATTTCTTCAATTGTTGACCATGAATTTTACTTTCGATGCATCATGTGGAAAATTTTTGTTTTTACCCAATTTTTTGGCGAATTGGTTAGCGAAAACGTTTTTTCAGCTTCCAAGCAGTTAGTTGCTTTTCGACTTTCCTTTGCGGTGTTTTCACTTTTCGTTGTGTAAAGTTGTGCCCCGCTATTCGTACAGTGAATACACGGACATGGTGCTAGTGTATGGAGAAGCCCAGGAAAATGCAGTGCAAGAACAAAGAATTTTGATACTGTTGAAATTTTGCGGGAACGAGTGATACGTGCTGCTGAAATAATTTGAAACAATGAAATTATGTTACAAAGAGTCAAAGACTCATTTCGTCGCCGTCTCCAGTGTTGTCTAGACAATAATGATGGCCACTTTGAACATTTATTTTTAAGTTTTTGGCGATTTCAAGGTGGGTCTCCATTACCTATTACAGCTCTACATTCAAATGTTGACATTTTTTGTTCCGTGTTGTATTCATTTCTTATCCCTCTCCCCAAGAAATTGCTTTGTTAGCTATGGGCGGGTAGGTGAATTTGTATTAAATCTTTGACTAATTTTAACTCAATCGCGAAAGGGTTTACGACAAAATGTTATTTACAAATTTAGTTGCTTTGGATTAGTTCTATTACCAATTAAAATTAATGTACTTTTTTCCGTAACACGCTGTATAATGCACTAGAGGTAAGATATATGTTGTTGAGTGCATTACGTAAATTTAAGGTGTTCCTCTATTTTTTTAGCAAATACGCAATTCAAATTGATGTGTTTATCTGAGTAAATTTACAAATATGCCATATTAATCAATAACATCGAAAATGCTTATTTTAACATTTAAGCAACAAAACAACACAATGTTGTAATAAATAGAATTTTTTAAAAACATTTATTCTCTGTACAAACTTTTATTTATCCAATTACATAATTTTATAAAGAATTATCATCACTGAACATAATAAAAATATAGAAAAGGTGTATAGTTCTGCTGCATTACACAGGTTTGAATCACATATCTTACAATGCTGTCCTGTTTTTTTATTTTGCTCTTCACATGTATTCACAAGCTTATCGCTAGGTGTAATGCAAGTTTTTGTTTCCAGGCTAGTGCTTCCTATACAAAAATACAAATAGTCGTACATTTTAACAAGTTAACATTTTACACAACTTTAACGAAACGTATTGTATGTAACTATAATAAGTGATTTTTATTTCTTACCCTGAGTAGCTAATTGCGTGATACACTTTTGGTTGGGTTGACATGTCATTTTAGCTAATGGATCCTTGCAAACTCCAAGAAGACATACATAACACTCTAAACCTGCTGCACTTTTACACAAAAAAAATGTACACATAACGAAAGCAGTAAGTGCAACTTTGGATTCCATTTTGCAATGCGGATCTGAAATATATATTTTAGGTCGACGAATTTTCGGTTATCAGAGCAAATTTTTCCTTAAAACCAAAGACGATTATATTTACAAATTAGCAGTGATTTGGTGTGTGACTTACCCAATGTGCGATTCACTGTTCACAAGAACGATTGTAAAAGATTGTTTAAAATATGTAGATTTTATAGTAATAAAACAGTGACAACAAATTGTGTTTTTGTGACAGCTAAAGTTATCATAGCCTGAGCGATGCGAATTAAATTGTTTAAACAAACAATTTTTCCAACATTTTTTCAAAAGAACTAACTCACAGTATAACAGTCTGATTGTAACCATAATAAAGTCCGTTATGTTTACATTTTTTTTTGTGTAAAAATGCAGCAGGTTTAGAGTGTTATCTATGTCCTGCTGGAATTTGCAAAGACCCTTTAGAGAAAATGACATGTTCAGGCAAACAAAAGTGTAAGCTCAACTTCTCGCGATAAGAAATAAAAACCAAAGTCATATGACATAACATTTCAATTTAAATGCAATTCAATTTGCTGTGGTTCTGTTCATTAAGGAAAATGAATTCAATTATAACTCTGCAGAACATCTATATAACACGAGCAACAAGAACGCATATATCATCAGGTATTATCATAGGCTGGAGAGAACTAGAGAAGCCACTAGTTACTATGGCGTAAAGTTTTTTAATAAATTGCCAGAACATATAAAGAATTTACCTTTAGTTAATTTTAAAAAGGTAGTGAGAACTTCATTAATAGAAGGAGCTTTACTCCCAAGATGAATTTCTTAACCACAATTTTAGTTCTTAGTTGGAAGGGGGAAACTTGCTCAATAATATTAATAAGTACTAGGCTTTGGATCTTAGGTTTTTTGCCTTTTTATATTTACTTCAGGCATTGCAGCGAAAGTTACATATTTATCCGAATTAAAAAAAATTCTGTTTATTTAACGCCCATTTATTACTACCTAAAATGCTTATTTACCGTTAGTGACCTAAAGTGTTAATTAAACGACCTAATTGTAAATTTTAAAAGACTTAAAATAGGATTCCACGACCAACGAAGCGGACGTGCTTGCACAATAGAGATTTTCCGTGAATTCGTTCTTTTGGCTGGCATATTGTTTAAAAATGGGTTGTAAACAACGCCCTTGAGTTTAGTGACAATGCTGACCTCCATTTTATTTAGATTATAGCCGGAAGGAGGTGAATCTCTGAAAAAGCATTTTATTTTAGAAGTTTATTGTTAGTGATACCGAGTGTCTTTGCGTGTTAGTGAGTGTGCTGAGGCCGGTTTTGATTTTTGTGCATATAGTAAAGAATCCTCAAAATGCCTAAGGTAAAATCATCCATGAAAGATAAAATCAAATTATGGTTAGGGAATAATTTGAACACTAATTTTCAATTTCCTTCTTCAACCAAAGACAATGAGTTATTCTGCAATGTGTGTGGAAAAGTTCTACGTAAACATTTAAAATACTGAAGCTTGAATTATGTTCACATTTTTGTTTCCTAGTTTAAGTGCCAAAAAAAAAGCACACTTTGAACAACACTGCAGTGGCGATGCACATAAAAAGAACGAGAATAAATCCCGTAAACAGACTTTATTAAACATTCGTTGCGACAATGATTTTACGCAATGTTGTACCGGCATTTACCGGAGCAAATTTTCCATGGAATAAAGTTAGTTGTCCTGAGTTTAAAAATTTTATGCATAAATATACAGGAAGGCATTTACTCTCAGAAATCACTTTGAGAAAAAAATATTTACCAAAAGATTACGATATGGTGAGCACGAGAATTTTTATTTAAAAATTTTTTAACATAAATTTTATAATTTACAGGTAATTAAACAAATTAGAAATTCTATTGGCAATAATGATATATGGATTAGCGTCGATGTGACGACAGACAGATTAGGAAGATACAGAGTCTATTTAGTAATTGGAAAGCTATCTTCTGAAGAATCTGGTCATCCATTTCTACTAGATTTGAAGCAGCTTGATAAAACTAATAGCAATACAATCTCGAGATTTATAAACGAATCATTGGGTGTGCTATTGATAATTTTAAGCATTAAAATTATTATAATTTAATTAATTGTTAATTTGCAGCTTTATTGTGGCCAAAAGGAACTGAAGACAAAAAAGTTAAATGGTTTGTATCAGATGGTGCTTCATACATGATCAAAACTGGTACTAATTTGAAGGTGTGTTATGAAAATATAACACACTTAACATGTATGGCACATGGGTTACATTTAGTGTCTGAAACAATTAGACTGAATTATCCAGATGTCAATGGGATAATTAGCAATGTTAAGAAAATCTTTTTAAAAGCACGAATAAGAGTGGAGTTTTATAAAAACAGTTTACTAAATACACCTCTCCCACCTGAACCTGTATTAACCAGGTGGGGCACTTGGATTCAAGCAGCATTGTTTTATGCAGAACACTTTGATGTTTTAAAACAAGTCAGTAAATATATAATGGTTTTTATACTATCATTCTTATATTGAATATTTTTAGGTTGTAATGTCATATGAAGCTACAGATACACAAAGCATGAAAAAAGCTCAAGAATTCCTGAATAAAGCAAACGTTAAAAATGAACTCTTGTACATTAAAACTCACTTTAAAATTATTGCAATAGAACAATTAGAAACTATAGGTTTAAAATTAAACCAAAGTATGGAGATTGTGGAAAAAGTGTATATCTTTAAAAAACACACCAGGAAAGGTGGGGGAAGCGGCGCTCCAAAAATTATGTTCTCTATTAAAAAATAATCCAGAATACGATTTTATATGTTCAGTAAATAACGTAATTTGCGGTAATGGAAATGCTACCAACAATACATAAAAACGTAGATTGTTCAATATTTAATTTTGCACCCATCACTTCTTGTGATGTGGAACGCACGTTTTCAAAAGTTAAGTGTTTTAAGCGATCAAAGGTGTAAATTTACAATCGAAAATTTAGAGAAATATATAGTTTGCTTTTGTAATTCATTTTAAATACCTGAATTATTATTTTATTTTTTGTTAAATGCGACTTGCTTTAAGTTGATCGCCATTTTTTTGCGATAACTTAGAATTAGTAGACGTAACTATAGATCGTTTATTTATTTAATATTTTTTTTGTTTGTTACACAAAATATTTGTTTCTATAATGTTTTGTTTAATGTTTTTTTTAATATATATTTTTTTGATGTATGCTTTTTCATGGAGCAAATATTTTTTCCTCCAGGTTTTTAACCTAAACTAAGAATTTTATAACCTAATTCGTCAATTTTGGGACCTAAAAATGTCTCCTTTTATTCATTTTTTAACGACCTAAAATCCGAAGCCCAATAATTACCTATTAATTTAAAGTAACTTTTTTGTTAAATATGTAATTAACCTATTTTTGACGATTGTATAATACTTTGTGGTCGAGTAGCTTCATAATTCACGTTTGACCCATCGAAAATCATTTATAATCTGCCACATTACCACACGATTTGTCGTGCCATAAAGCGGTGTCATGGAAATAGGTACAATGGTACACCATAGGGATTTTTCACAAGACAATGGAATTGTTTGAAAAGACGTTATAGCAACTAACAGGAATTGTCATTTGTCTTATTATAAAGGTGAAAATAAAAGTTCGACCACAAAATGACGTATGATATTCGTTTATAATGCGGGATTATGGCATTCATGAAATTAACGCATTCGCTAAGCTCATGTGCTAAACTTACATTCATGCAATAATCTCCTGCATTATAAACTAATATCATAATATACTATTGTATTTTAAACATGAATAAACATTACATTACATATATTACATTAAAATTGGTCCAATATATACAATTTGGTTATTTATTTGACACACTTAGATAAAGGTATATGGTCATTCGGTCCCTGCGATCTTATTATATCCCGTGGACTTCGGGATAGCTCCTAACATAATTCCTCCCTCCTTCAGTCGAAAAATAAGGCTGAAAGTCTATTTTTCAGAGACGATCTTCTCTGACGTTGGTGTAAGTATCAGAAATCAACATTATTGTCACGGAGACGATGGTGAAAATGGAAACACAAGCTGTAACATATGAAATTATTGGAATGTGATAATCAATGATAACAGATTTTTTTGGATTTTGGTGATTTCATCCAGGTTGATTATTTCTAAATATAGGCGACTGATGCTCATTGGAATGGTGTTGGGGTAGAGTCTGGATCTTTTCTATTACTATTAAGTTTCGTAACGTTTCCTTTTTTAATCATTGATTTATGTTTAATTTCATCTTACAGAGCTTTTGTTTTTTCTTTATGATTTTGAATACAATTTGAAATAACTTTCGCGTCTGAAAGCTCGACAGTGTGAACTGCATTGTCATAACCCATTACAGCAAGATTTTAACGCATCTTTTTTCAAGTGGTTTTATGATAGGAGATACGAGTATTTGGTTTTCAACCTCTGTATGAACAGTTAGATTATCAGATAAGTTCGGATTTAGAGGTCTGATTTGAATATCCGACAATATTTTAATTTTAGATGGATTTTTTAGTTTTTTTGTTGACTGTTATTCTTGGGCTAATTGGGACTGATGTCTTATTAGGGTTTTCCAAACAATCGTTGATTGTTACATCGATTTCTGCATCTCCTACACCTACATTAACAGCGAGAGATGTTTTGGGAGTATCTACTGTGTTAACATATGCGAAGTGTGTCAATATTAAGTAAAATTGATCGAAAGTTGTTTCGACAGAACTTTACTTTCCTCGCTCCTGAAATACAATAAAACATATCCAGCATTTTCGAGTTGAGTTTTTTTCTTTACACAATGTTGTGATGACGTCATCAACATTTATGCAAGGACATATATAGCAACTTAGATTGGTAATGTGTAATACTGAAAATAACTGTATTGTATTCCCAGAATTTTCTGGTAAAATGGAGTGGGTCGTTCTTGATAATAAATTTTATTTGACAAAATTTTGCGATGATGTCATCAATTTTTTGGGAGGAATAAACAGATATGTTTTTATTAACAATTTACCAGGCTTACAATAACTTTAACACGTCTGCAAGATTTCAAAGTATTAATTTATTCAATAAAATAAATTGACTGAATAATTAATTTTCTTGAGTCACCCTGTATAAGCAAATCTAAAAAATATTAAAGCAATAATAAATTACAAGTATAGACTGACAATATTTTCCAAATTTTAGATAGGATTCATCATTTAAAATTTTGAGATGCCGTCATCAATTTTTGGGGTTTATAAACAGGTACATTTTGATTAACAAGTTACCATGCTTACAACAAGCTTCGAAACGTCTACAAGATTTAAAAGTATTCAGTTTTACAGTTCTTGATTTTATCAATAAAATAAATTGACTGAGTCATTAATTTTTTTGAGGTATCCTCTATAAGCAAATCTAAAAAAATTAATGCAGTGATAAATCACAACTGTTGACTCATCATACTTTGCTGATTTAAGATTTATTCAGCAAAATTGTGAGGTGACGTACGGGGTTGAGCAAATACACTTTGAGCAAAAACTTATTACCATGCTTAAAATTCACGCATTCATTAATTTTTTTGAATCACCCTGTATTTGCTCAACGAAGAAGCATACATCAAAAAAATATATATTTAAAAAAGCATTAAACAAAACATTATAGAAACAAATATTTTGTGTAACAAACAAAAAATGATTAAATAAATAAACGATCTATAGTTACGTCCACTAATTCTAAGTTATCGCAAAAAAATGGTGATCAAATTAAAGCAAGTCGCATTTAACAAAAAATAAAATATTAATTCAGGTATTTAAAATGAGTTACAGAAGCAAACTATATGTTTCTCTAAATTTTCGATTGTAAATTTCCACCTTTGATCGCTTAAAACACTTTTTAGTTTTGAAAACGTGCGTTCCACATCACAAGAAGTGGTACGTTTTCATGTATGTATATATTGTTGGTAGCATTTCCATTACCGCAAATTACGTTATTTACTGAACATATAAAATCGTATCCTGGATTCTTTTTTAATAGAGAACATAATTGTTGGAACGCCGTTTCCTCCACCTTTCCTAGTGAGTATTTTAAAGATGTATACACTTTTTCCACAATTTCCATACTTTGCTTTAATTTTAAACCTATAGTTTCTAATTGTTCTATTGCATCAGCAATTAAAGTGAGATTTAATGTACAAGAGTTCATTTTTAACGTTTGCTTTATTCAGGAATTTTTGAGCTTTTTAATGCTTTAAATGACATTACAACCTAAAAATATTCAATATAAGAATGATAGTAAAAAACCATTATATATTTACTGATTTGTTTTAAAACATCAAAGTGTTCTGCATAAAACAATGCTGCTTGAATCCAAGTGCCCCACCTGGTTAATACAGGTTCGGGTGGGAGAGGTGTATTTGATAAACTGTTTTTACAAAACTCAATTATTATTGGTGTTTTTAAAAAGATTTTCTTAACATTGCTAATGATCCCATTGACATCTGCATAATTCAGTCTAATTGTTTCAGACACTAAATGTAACCCATGTGCCATAAATGTTAAGTGTGTTAAATTTTCATAAAACACCTTCATATTAGTACCAGTTTTGATCATGCATGAAGCACCATCTGATACAAACCATTTAACTTTTTTGTGTTCGGTTCCTTTTGGCCACAATAAAGATACAAATTAACAATTAAATAATTTATAATGATTTCAATGCTTAAAATTATCAATAGCACACACAATGATTCGTTTATAACTCTCGAGATTGTGTTGCTATTAGTTTTATCAAGCTGCTTCAAAGCTAGTAGAAATGGACGGCCAGCTTCTTCAGAAGATAACTTTCCAATTACTAAATGGGCCATGTATCTTCCTAATCTGTCCGTCGTCTCATCAACGCTAATCCATATAACTATATTATTGCCAATAGAATTTCTAATTTGTTTAATTATAGTATTTCCACCGATAGATTAGCTGACAGAAAAGTCACCAAATAGACCGCTATAAAAAGTAGTGCCAAAGGCGCTTTATTTGAAATGTAAGGAGATTTGAAAATAATGTTGAACTACGTAAAATTACTTTTAATAATAACACAATTTATTTCCAACAGGCAATATTATCTATACTGGAACATACCTACGAATAACATTACGTACTTTATATTGAAGTAACAACCTCTATAGGGCATCTTAAATTAAAATTTTCCTTCTTGAAAAATGAATACGCATTGGCAATCATTTTCTGTGCCACGATGTTGTCAACAACAGTCATACTGCGCCGGGTTGAAGAGGGCTATAAAATATAATGGTATATAATGATTGCACAGAATAAATCAACAACTCACTCTTGCGTAATTATGAATTTTATTCCTAACGTCTTCCATGGGGTCCATATGAAACGTTTTTTGACACAAACAACTTAACCTAAAATGTCCAAACTTCAGCCACTATACAAAAAACAGCACAAAAGTCTATAATATCATACCTAACAAATCAAAACAAGTTAAAAAACACAAACACTAAACGCAAAAAACACACTTTTTAACTTTTTGAACCAAAATTTTAAATTAACGTTAATTAGCTGATCGAACAAAACACAGGTTAAACGAAACCGGCCGACAGGCGCAGGGGCGCAGGCATAGAGGCGTAGGAAATTCGATGCGCGGGAAAAGGAACGTTGGTTGCCAACTTAAACTACAACTCTTTAACTGCTTTAAGCGTATAATGTTAGTATATTTTGGATTCTCCGGTTGGCGATTGTGAATTCAAAATTTTCCAATCTATCGCTGGAAATAGTATACCTGTAAATTATAAAATTTATGTTAAAAAGTTTTTAAATAAAAATTCTAGTGCTCACCATATTGTAATCTTTTGGTAAATAATTTTTTCTCACAGTGCTTTCTGAGAGTAAATGCCTTCCTGTATATTTATGCATAAAATTTTTAAACTCAGTACAACTAACTTTATTCCATGGAATATTTGCTGCGGTAAATACTATACATAAATCAGTGCAAAATTGCGTAAAATCATTGTCGGAACTAATATTTAATAAAGTCTGTTTACTGGATTTATTCTCGTTCATTTTATGTGCATTGGCACTGCAGTATTGTTCAAATTGTGATTTTTTTTCGCACTTAAACTAGGAAACAAAAATGTGAATATAATTCAAGCTTCAGTATTTTAAATGTTTACTTACAACTTTTCCACACACTTTGCAGAATAACTCATTGTCTTTGGTTGAAGAAGAAAATTGAAAATTAGTGTCCAAATTATTCCCTAACCATAATTTGATTTTATTTTTCATGGATGATTTTACCTTAGGCATTTTGAGGATTCTTTATCCTCAAAAATCAAAACCGGCCCCAGCGCACTCACTAACACGCAAAGACACTCAGTATCACTACACTGAAGTAGATATAAAAAGGCAAAAAACCTAAGACCCGAAGTCTAGTTATTAGAGAATTGTTGAACCGCATATGCAAATTTGAAAAGTGGGAACGATTATTAGATGGCAGAAAATATTTTTGAAGTGATATCTGTCGGAGTTGTTGGTTATTAAAGTTTGGTCGGTTATTAACATTTCGTGCTGATTGTTTTTTATGTTGTATGAGGAGGCCGAAATTTTTCCTATAGCGGAAAGTTTTTCCTTAACAAGCTAAGACTTGGCTGATTCTACGGGCGTTGGGCATTATTCTACCGACTGAAGCAATTCAATTCTTTAAAACTTTAAACAAACAAGTCTTAAAAGAAAATATTCACATGAACTAAATCACTGTATTTGTTACTTCTCTTGGAGTTTCTTCAAAGAGATAATTCTAGTTTGTAGGCGATTTTAACGCTAGAGTGGGGTTACAAATAAACTCAGAAGGAAGAATTCATTTGAAAATAATAGAAAATAGGAGGTAGGAAATACTTAATGGAAACAAAGAGGGAGATGAAAATGGAAAATATGCATGGATAGGAACAATCGAGAATCGGTGATAGATTAAACAATTGTAAATACTGAGCCAGAAGAGGAAGTGATACGTATTTTAAAGTATAAGGTTAGAAGGAAAAAGGAAATTACGAGAAGAGAAAGATAATTAAGAAAGGGAGACCAGAATTTGGAAGGAAGAAGGAGTAAAGAACTTTAACTCTAAAATGTTGGAAGCAGTTTTTAAAGTCTGCAGCATAAATCGCAAAAGCCTGGAGAAAAATATTTCAATGGAAAGTGCCGCGAACTAAAAGTGAAGGCAAACCTCTCCTGTGATAATGGAGAAAGAATAAAACTACAGCAGAACAGTATTACCAAGCGAAGAAAAAATATAGGAAAATATGTAAAGAATGGAAAAAAGAAGTAATGTTTAAAGAAGAAAGAAATCTGAAAATGGTGAGTTAAAAAAAAGAAGAATGGCAGTATATCAATAAGGAAACAAGAATCTGGAAGAAAGTTAGTAGCAAAATTGGTACAGAAGTTGGAAAAAAATGGAAAAGCTAGGGGAAGGAGTACGAGAACCAAGTGTTGATAGACTAAATATGTGAGAGGGAAAGGGTTTCTCACGGAAGTGGACAGAAGAACTCATCTGCCGCATCCATAAAATCTACAAAGAAACGGTGACCGCAGTCTGAGTAAATAAGAAAACGAGTGAATACTTTTGGACAAAGAAAGGGATGAGCCAAGGGTGTCTATACTTATTTATTTCCTCGCAACTGCAATGTATTTTGTTGGCAATTTATTTAAATTCGTGGGGGAAAACTACAACAATCTTCTTCTATCTTCTTTCCAACAATGGAAAGGTTTTTAAAAGATTTCAATTCAAGAAATAATAGCAGATCTGGCTAAAATAAAATAAACCGTATAATTTATTCTGGACTGTTTTCATCTTTTTTCATGATCTTGAAAAAAAAACAAAAGGTTTTATGAAATTTATATGATTGAAAACGTATTAAATATTTAAGTACCAATATCCTGTTTGATATGGCTACATAAGGTACTAGGAAATTTTAGCAACGACCATATAAATGCTTAATCATTGTGTATTTTTAATATTTAAACCCTGGCGATGCATAATTAATTCCAAAAGTTTATAAATGTGCAATTACAAAATAATTTTAAATAATATATTTAGAACAAAAATTTCATACTAAATTTTTAATTTTGTTTCCTTTATTACGATTTTGATTTTATTAAGATTCAGAGTTGTGTAAGGTAGTCACCACTTTATTACATCTTGCATGGAACTGTCAGACGCGTTGAAATGCAAATCCACGTTTCCATTTTTACTTCCCGAGCGTAAGCAAAGGAAGTATTGTAATCGAGTCCGTCGGCCGACTCTCTACTTTTACGTTTTCTCGATCTTTCATGACCCCTAGAAGACGAAGAAATAGGTCTCCCATTTCCGTCTGTCTGTCCGTCTGTCCGTCTGTCCGTCTGTCCGTCTGTCCGTCCGTCTGTCCGTCTGTCCGTCTGTCCGTCCGTCTGTCCGTCTGTCCGTCCGTCTGTCCGTCTGTCCGTCTGTCCGTCTGTCTGTCCGTCTGTCCGTCTGTCCGTCTGTTGTCCCGGATTTTTATTAGACAGATAATCTCCGAAAGTACTCGACCGATTGTTGTGAAATTTTGTACTTATATTAAGAATATCATGTAGATGGTAAAACGCTAACCAAAATTTGTCTAATAATCCCCACCACTAAAGCGATGACGTCACTTCAAAATTGTACATAGTAAATGGGTTTTCAATTGTATAAAATAACATAGTCCTACACATGTAGTTTACAACTCTGAATCGACTTTTCACCCGAAACGTCCAGATTTTTGGAAAAAAAATCAAAATTATAAAACAACATTTTGAAATTTAATTTTTAATCTGCTAACCAGAATGCTTTGAAATGTTGCAGATGTTTTAAGGCTATAAAGAGCATCATAAATCTTTAGTCAAAAAATATTTGCTTATCCCCTCCAAAAACTTGATGACGTCAGCTCAAAAGTTTGTGGAATAAATCATATCTAAAATGCACAAAATATGATCAGTCTGTACTTGTGATCTATCACTCCATTCATATTTTTTGGATTTGCATATACAGGGTGATTCAAGAAAATAAATGAAAGCGTAAATTTATTTTACTGATTTACTCAGGAACTACAAAACCGAATGCTTCGAAATCTTGAAGATATTTTAAAATTATCATAAGCATGGTAAATTTTTGATCAAAATGTATTTGGTCGTCCCCCCTAAAAAATTTATGACGTCACCCCAAAATTTTGCTGAAAAAATGCCATCTTCAATGTGTAAAGTATGATGAGTCCATACTTGTGATTTATCACTGCATTAAAATTTTTAATATTTGCTTATACAGGGTGTCTGAAAAAAATTAATGACGGAGTGAATTGATTTTGCAAAACTGAATACTTAGAAATCTTGACGTTTTGAAGTTATTGTAAGCGTGGTAACTGTTTAATCAAAATGTATCTCTTCATCAACCCCAAAAAAAATTCATTACGTCCTCTCAGAATTTTGCTGAATAAAGTATATGATCTGACTATACTTCTAAAATTTTTAATATTTGCTTATACAGGGTGTCTGAAAAAAATTAATGACGGAGTGAATTGATTTTGCAAAACTGAATACTTAGAAATCTTGACGTTTTGAAGTTATTGTAAGCATGGTAACTGTTTAATCAAAATGTATCTCTTCATCAACCCCAAAAAAAATTCATTACGTCCACTCAGAATTTTGCTGAATAAAGTATATGATCTGACTATACTTGTAAAATTTTTGATATTTGCTTATACAGGGTGTCTGAAAAAAATTAATGACGGAGTGAATTGATTTTGCAAAACTGAATATGTACTTAGAAATCTTGACGTTTTGAAGTTATTGTAAGCATGGTAACTGTTTAATCAAAATGTATCTCTTTATCAACCCCAAAAAAAATTCATTACGTCTTCTCACAATTTTACTGAATAAAGTATATGATCTGACTACACTTGTAACTAATCATTGCATTCAAATTTTTTAACTTGCTTATACAGGGTGACTCAAAAAAAGAAATGAATCAGTCATTTTATTTTAGTGAATAAATCAAAAATTGCTAAACTGAATATTTTGAAATCTTGCAGATGGTTAAAATTGATTGTGAGCATGGTAAATTGTTAATGAAAATATATCTGTTTATTCCCCCGAAAAAATTCATGACGTCATCTACAATTTTTGCCAAAAAAGTTTAACTCAAAATGTGCAAAATATGATGAGTTTTAACATAAGCAACTGTGGCCTGTGGTTTAGTGGAGGTGGAGTGTGCAGTGCAATTAGAAGTTCCGGTAACACATCCCGGCACTTCCAACTTTTTTCGCCCATCAAATCAAGAACAGCACTTCCGATTTTCGCAACAATAATGTTATAATATTTATTTATTTGTTATTGTGTGTTCGTGAATAAGCACCATAAATAGCAAATGTTGAAATTTTTTTTGTGATCGGAAGAATATCTCTTAATCATTTTATATATTGTCAATACATGATTAACTTCGACTGTTAATGTTTATACATCGAGAGAAGCAGAGAAAAAGTACATACGCATTTGCTTCAGTTACGCCACTGACCGTGTCATTTCTTTATCGCACGTTGAGACATAGTTTATATAAACAAACTCCCAGCCATAGCAAAAAGCGGAAGTTGGAAACGACGAGCGGCGCGGGGTTTGGGTGGCGAGACGAAACAGTTGCGATTGCGAAATGCGAAGCCAATTCGAAAAAAATTGGTCTAAAGAGTTTAGACAGTACTTCCCTCGCTGTCGGAAACTTGACGACTGCATGCCTATTGTGTTTTTTTCTCATTACATTTTTGTAGTGGGAATTTAAAAAAAATTGCGATGACGTCAACATTTTTGCAAGGACACGTATATCAGTTGGGATAGATGTAGTGTAATACTAAGAATAAAATTATTGTATTCCCAAATTTTCGGGAAAATGAATTGGGTCGTTTTGAATATTGATTTTTTATAATCAATAAAATAACGAAACAATTTACTCACGTATACGGCAACTGAAAATCGTTTATGTATAAACATTCTTAATTTAAGATGACAAGCGTAACAGCATACGTGAGAGTCAAACAGAGAAACTGTAAACAAAACGACCATTAATTTTTTTGAGTCACCCTGTATATGCAAATCGAAAAAATTTGAATGGAATGATAAATCACAAGAAGAGACTCACCATATTTTGTACATTTTAGATAGGATTTATTCAGCAAAATTTTGTGGTGACGTCATAAATTTTTTAGGGGGGACTACCAAATACATTTTGATCAAAAATTTACTATGCTTATGATAATTTTAAAATATCTTCAAGATTTCGAAGCATTCGGTTTTGTAGTTCCTGAGTAAATCAGTAAAATAAATTTACGCTTTAATTTATTTTCTTGAATCACCCTGTATGTGCAAATCCAAAAAATATGAATGAAGTGATAGATCACAAGTACAGACTGATCATATTTTGTACATTTTAGATATGATTTATTCGGAAAATTTTCGAGCTGACGTCATCAAGTTTTTGGAGGGGATAAGCAAATATATTTTGACTAAACACTTATTATGCTCTTTACAACCTTAAAACATCTGCAAGATGTCAGAGCATTCCGTTTTGTAGTTCCTGATTAAATCAATAAAATATATTTACGCATTCATTAATTTTTTTGAGTCACTCTGTATATGCAAACCAAAAAATATGAATGGAGTGATAAATGACAAGTACAGACTCATCATATTTTGTACATTTTAGATATGATTTATTCGGCAAACTTTCGAGCTGACGTCATCAAGTTTTTGGAGGGGATAAGCAAATATATTTTGACTAAACATTTATTATGCTCTTTATGACCTTAAAAGATCTGCAAGATTTCAGAGCATTCCGTTTTGTAGTTCCTGATTAAATCAATAAAATATATTTACGCATTCAATAATTTTTTTGAGTCACCCTGTATATGCAAATCCAAAAAATATGAATGGAGTGATAGATCACAAGTACAGACTCATCATATTTTGTACATTTTAGATATGATTTATTCCACAAACTTTTGAGCTGACGTCATCAAGTTTTTGGAGGGGATAAGCAAATATTTTTTGACTAAAAATTTATGATGCTCTTTATAGCCTTAAAACATCTGCAACATTTCAAAGCATTCTGGTTAGCAGATTAAAAATTAAATTTCAAAATGTTGTTTTATAATTTTGATTTTTTTTCCAAAAATCTGGACGTTTCGGGTGAAAAGTCGATTCAGAGTTGTAAACTACATGTGTAGGACTATGTTATTTTATACAATTGAAAACCCATTTACTATGTACAATTTTGAAGTGACGTCATCGCATTAGTGGTGGGGATGATTAGACAAATTTTGGTTAGCGTTTTACCATCTACATGATATTCTTAATATAAGTACAAAATTTCACAACAATCGGTCGAGTACTTTCGGAGATTATCTGTCTAATAAAAATCCGGGACAACAGACGGACAGACGGACAGACGGACGGACGGACGGACAGACGGACAGACGGACAGACGGACAGACGGACAGACGGACAGACAGACGGAAATGGGAGACCTATTTCTTCGTCTTCTAGGGGTCATGAAAGATCGAGAAAACGTAAAAGTGGAGAGTCGGCCGACGGACTCGATTACAATACTTCCTTTGCTTACGCTCGGGAAGTAAAAACTGTTGAAGAGTGAATGTCATTGAGGATATATATCTCCAAATTTTAAGAATTGGACCAAGTTACAATAATTGTTGCCTGGTAAGTGCAGATATTTTGGATTTGCATATACGGGGTGATTCAAGAAAATAAATGAAAGCGTAAATTTATTTTACTGATTTACTCAGGAACTACAAAACCGAATGCTTCGAAATCTTGAAGATATTTTAAAATTATCATAAGCATGGTAAATTTTTGATCAAAACGTATTTGGTCGTCCCCCTAAAAAATTTATGACGTCACCACAAAATTTTGCTGAATAAATCCTATCTAAAATGTACAAAATATGGTGAGTCTCTTCTTGTAATTTGTCATTCCATTCAAATTTTTTCGATTTGCATAAACAGGGTGACTCAAAAAAATTAATGAATGCGTAAATTTATTTTATTGATTTAATCAGGAACTACAAAACCGAATGCTTTGAAATCTTGCAGATGTTTTAAGGTTATAAAGAGCATAATAAATTTTTAGTCAAAATATATTTGGTTATCTTCTACAAAAAACTGATGACGTCAGCTCAAAAGTTTGCCGAATAAATCGTATCTAAAATGTACAAAATATGATGAGTCTGTACTTGTGATTTATCATTTCATTCATATTTTTGGATTTGCATATGCAGGGTGACTCAAAAAAATTAATGAAGGCGTGAATTTATTTTATCGATTTAATCAGGAATTACAAAACCGAATGCTTTGAAATCTTGGGAATATTCTAAAGTTATTATAAGCATGGTAAACTTTTGTTCAAAATGTATTTGTTCATCCCTCCTAAAAAAATTGATGACGTCACCCTTAAATTTTGCTGAATAAATCCTATCTAAAATGCAAAAAATATGATGAGTTTGTACTTGTGATTTATCATTCCATTCATATTTTTTAGATTTTCTTAAGAGGTGGTTCAAAAAAATTAATGAAGTCAATTTATTTTATTGATTAAATTAAAGGCAACACTTATTATTAGTATTACACCCCAACCAACCCAATTTGGTAGACACAAAATTTGCTAAAGGAAAAACTCGGTTGAAACATAAGGGTAGCACGCTTATTTACATCGGATTTAACATTACAGACGTGCATTTGTTTTATGCGCTGACTAGGTTCCGCGAATGTGGAATAGACATGTTTATAATCAACCAATTGTGAATTCCACCGTCAAAAATTAAAATAAAACCCAATGTTTTATATAATAAGCGGAAGTCGAAACAATAAAACCGATGGTCGTTTTGTTTACAGTTTCTCTGTTTGACTCTCACGTATGCTGTTACGCCTGTCATCTTAAATTAAGAATGTTTATACATACACGATTTTCATTTGCCTCTGATACGATACGTGAGTAAATTGTTTCGTTATTTTATTGATTATTACAAATCAATATTCAAAACGACCCGATTCATTTTCCCGAAAATTTGAGAATATAATAATTTTATTCTTAGTATTACACTACATCTATCCCAACTAATATACGTGTCCTTGCAAAAATGTTGATGACGTCATCGCAATTTTGTTTTAAATTCCCACTACAAAAATGTACTGAGAAAAAAAACACAATAGGCATGCAGTCGTCAAGTTTCCGACAGCGAGGGAAGTACTGTCTAAACTCTTTAGACCAATTTTTTGTTTTGTTTTTGCAAGCATTCCTTATCAGTAGTTTTTTAGTGTATTTTGTATAAAGGGATAAGTATTTTGCACTGATAATGTTTTCATCACAGGTAACTATTAGATAAGAATACTAATATACCTGCGAATATTTGTATTGATGCTTCGATTGTTCTAAAAATAGATAATGGATGGAAAGTTATTTAGGAAGGTTGAAAACTAAATTCCAGATAAAATTTTTTAACACGTGTCAGTAATTATGTTATCGATTATGAGGATCTTCTGGATTTCGAGACGTTTTACATTTTGACAGATCGATTATTTTATTATACCAAATTACATCAAATTCTTTCATCATTAACAAAAATTGGGGCAAGGAATTTAATGAAGATCAGATTTTTTCAAGTGGCATTCTACTTGTAATATCTGATAACAAACAATAAGATAAAATATACACGATCTTATACTTTGCTAGTTCATTATGGAATCCTTAACAATTATTTCCATTTTATTTTACTTGTCTACCGTCTTTGTTGGAAAAAGTTTTTCCACTGGGGTGCAAACATGTTATTACTGTTGGTGGAAATGTGAAGAGCCTTTGGAAATACGGGACTGTGCCAACGACTTCCAAGATTTCAGATGTTATGCATCTCATGCGATAACTCCAAGTAAAGCATCGTTAATTTATGACACGTTTAAATAATATTTTTTTTACAGATGGAACGTACCAAGAGTTTAAAGGGTGTGTTCTGAGTGATGATGAGTACTGGCACACCCGTTGTGACACACTAAATTATCAGCCGGACAGCGGATGTTACATGTGTGACGATGATTTATGTAACTGGTATTAAGATAATAAATATGTATGCATTTCTGTGAACTAAGTATTATTAATTATTAACAAAAAATTAACGCAATGAACGTAATTAAAGATCAGATTTTCCAAGTGGTATCCTACTTGTAGCATCTGATAACAAAAAATAAGATAAAATAGCCACGAGCCTATACTTTGTTAGTTCATTATGAAATTCTTGACAATAATTATTTCTATTTTAATTTCCTGGTCTACCGTCTTTGTTGGAAAAAGTTTTTCCACTGGTGTGCAAACATGTTATTACTGTTGGTGGCAATGTGAAGAGCCTTTGGAAATACGGGACAGTGTCAACGATTTCCAAGATTTCCGATGCTATGCATCTCATGGACCACTTCCAAGTAAAATATCTTTGATTTTTTATACTTGAAATAATATTTCAATTTTTTTAGATGGAACGTACCAAGAGTTTAAAGGGTGTGTTCTGAGCAGTAGGCGGGAATTTATCTTACGGATACAATTCCCCAGTTGAAGCAAGGTGTGTTTTACGGCGAGTAGCGGGGACGCTTTGATCTGGTCCACAAGGTCGTAGCCAGTGCGTCGCTTAGGAGTGTTTACAGCTTGTTAAAAAACTACTTCTATATTACTATATTACTTCAAAAAATAATACTCGATGTCCTTTTTAATTTTTCAAACACAGGACCACAGATTTGTGAACTTGAAATGTTATATTATGTTGATATAATCCAAAAGAAAAATACATTTGTAATCAAACTATCGCCGTGACAGCACTGGATCTAGCGTATGAAACACAATTCCGCCCGTTGGTTCTGAGTGATGATGAGTACTGGCACACCCGTTGTGACACCCTAAATTATCAACCAGATAGCGGATGTTACATGTGTGACGACGATTTATGTAACTCATATTAAGATAAATACAGTATCTTCAATATGTATTTCTCTGAATTATCATTAGGTTTAAGTACCATTACTACAAAAAATTTCTCAGTATTCCGACAATTGTTTGTTCACTTAAAATGAAAGCACTCATCGTTAACTGTTTTATATTTTGCGCAATATTGTGTTTCCAAGGTAAGAGATTTTCAACCTCGAACAAAATATATACAATTACCTACTAGGAATATCGGATGGGGGTAATACTATAGAATGTTACTATTGCATAAATGACTGCGAACCTCCACTAAATACACTTAACTGTGAAGCATTAGATAACAACGTCAGTTGCTATTCATCTATATCTACCAACGAAGGTAACATCACATCCATTTTGTTCCAATTTAATAATTTGTCGAGTTAGATGGTACCACTGAACACTTGAAAGGTTGCTCAATTGACGAAGATACAGATTTTCAAGACTTTTGCAATACTACGAACGTCGAAGGTGGTTCATGTTACACTTGCCAAGAGGATTTATGTAATGCAGCTAATTAAAAGTTGATTATTTACAATAAAGATTGTTTTTGCGTTCTTTTCTTGATATCTCCTTGTCGTCACACCTGTCAAGTCAGTTAACACTTATCTAGATCAAAAAACAACAGATGGGAGTATATAAAACACTATTGTTTGAGCAAAATTCCATTCAATATGAAGTTCATTTTGGAAAGTTTAACGCTGCTGCTTTTGTTTACAGTCTACCATCAAGGTAAATAACATCTGTTTTTTTTTTAATTTAAGGATTTTTTCCCAGTTGATGGTGCTGTATCTGAGTGCTATAAATGTACTGTAAGTTGCGAGTTTCCAACCATAGATGAATGCCCCACTTTTGTTGGTGAATTTAGGTGCTATTCAGCAGCAATTCTTCAACCACCGGGTATTTAAATATTATTCGGTAACGTTAATTTTAATGTTCGTACTTCGTTTTAGATGGACGACTAGAGTACTCCAAAGGTTGCGTTCTTGCTGATGACACAAACATGATAACGGAATGTAATATAATTAATAATACAGAGGGTGATTCGTGCTATTTCTGCGATACAAATCTTTGTAATGACCACGATTAGTGGGTTCCATTATTTTTAATATTAATATTGCCAAATAAACATTTTTTGCATCAGTTTTACTTGCAGTTTAATTCCAATTAATAAAATAAAAAAGACTTTAAACTTTGATCTTCCGCAAGTGACTACGACTTGCACTAATATCTACAATGAGTTGCTCCGTGATTATGTTCTTTAGATAATTCAATTTTTATGGTCATGAGTCATGACAATATTATTATTAAGTATTAAGCATGTTTATGGTGAGTTTTACAATTAAAAATTACGCACAATAGGTACTTGTAATAGTTCACACTTATCTTTAAATTTTGAAGTGCTGTCACTAGATAAATTTTTAGCATTGACGATGACATCATAAAATGCATAATAAGTCTAAAATTTTGAGTGACAGTGTGTATTGAATAGATTGTTTTCATGTTCTTCTGATAGTTCAGCTTCAGCTTACTTTGGTGATACATAAGAATTCACAAATGTGGACCATATTTTTCCGAATGCATCTAAACAGTTTTAAATAAGTTATTAATATGAGATAAAATATGGTAAAATTTGCATCAAAATACATGGGGAGCACCTCCAGTAGACTAAAAGCATTGTATTTTTGAAATTGTGACCAAGACGATCGAACCGTCCTCACTTTTCAGCGTTAGGTTGTGTTGCGAGATTCACGAGCCTGTTACATAATGAATTGCATCATCCACTACACCTCGCGGACTGCCAAGCCAGCGATCTACTCATTCCATGGAAGAGTAGGTACCCCACTCGCATTGGGATTAAAAACTAACTAAACTATACCTCCTGTGATGATATTAATTTAACTGATGATAATTTTCAAGGTCCTTTCTATAAATAAAATCGTGATAGAAAAGAAGCCGGAATAAATCAATATCCTGCCATTTGTTTTTAAAACAAAATAACACGTGTTGACGAATTCGCCAAAGTTTCACAACATCTTAGAATAGAAAATCTTGATTAACTGGTCTTACACCAATTACTATCGTTGGAGGAGAACCGTGGCGTCGAAGGCGATTCATTTTCTTGTTTAAACAATTTGTTGAAAAGCATTAGAAGAGTTAGATAAATAGGAAAATTACGTTAAGGAATATAATCTTTTAAATCAATATAAAATTAATCCTAATCCATTAAAGCTGTTTGATTTTATAAGTACACATAACTAGTCCTATAAAATTAATCTGAGTACGTGGTTTACCGACCTATGGTTCCCGTTAGTTAAAAGAAAAATATAATAATAACAAATGATCTTTTATGCTTTATACAATATGGAATTTCAGTATCCCACTGAATTTACGGATATTAAGAAAGATTTAAAGAAAATTTTAGAAAACTATAAAATAGAATACCAAATAATAAGTTATGATAAGATTAGGTAAAAATGAATTATCATATTATAAAAAAATAAGAAGAAAAGATATTATAAATGTTTCGCCAAATAATTTAAATAAAACAATATGGATTTTATTGAGTATTCGTAATTTTTCTTTTTTTCGATCAATGATTTTTGCATGCGCCAATTGGCTTGGTCCAAAAACGAAAAGCTATATTGGGTGTCTAAAAACAAGAGATTGTCGTAAAGTTTTTGCTTACTTTAAAGGTGTCTTTGTTTGATTTTGGGTAAATTTGAACTATTTTTTCGTGTGCCCAATTTCGGCAGTCTATGGATATTTGAGTATTTTTGGGGTGCATAAAAATTGATGTTTCTTTTTGAAGGATTTTGGGCGTTTTTGGTTGTTTTCATTGGTCTTTCTTTTGAGCGTTTTTCAATGGTTTTTTATTTGGTCCAGAAATAAAAAACCATTTTCGAATGTTTAAAAATAACGGATTTTGTAAGGCTTTTTTTAGATTCTTTTAATATAATTATGTTGGATTTTGGATTATTTTCAAAAGTTTTTCCAGGTTCTCATTTTTTGGTGGTCTATTGATTTTCGAGTATTTTTTGGTCGCATTAAAAATTATGATTTTTGAAGGATTTTATGTCTTTTTCGATCGTTAACTTTTGGGAAAACATAAATTTTTAGGATCCTGCCTTGTTTTGGCGCCAAATATACCTCTTTGATTGTTGTTTTTCCTTTTTTTTTTGCATGGTCCAGAAAAACAAAGCCGGATTCTGAAAGTTTTTCAGAGTGCGCTTGAGATAATTTTGCATGGTTTTTGGGTGATTTTCAACGGTTTTTTCGTGTGCCTAATTTTTGGTGGTCTACAGATATTTGGTATTTTTGGGGTGGATAAAAATTGGTGCTTTTTTAAAGCTTTTAGGTATTTTTCGGTTGTTTACTTTTGGGAGAACAGCTAAATTTTTAGTTCTGCCTTGTTTTTTGAAGACGCCAAATGTCCTGGTCCAGAAATAAAAAGCCATTTTGGGGTGCTTAAAAACAAGGCATTTTGTAAGTTTTTTATATCTTTTTCGGATGTTTACTTTTGAGAAAACACTAAATTTGTAGGACTTTTTCATGTGCTCAATTTTTAGTGGTCTACAGATATTTGGGTACTTTTGGAGTTAATAAAAATTAATGCTTTTTAAAGTGTTTTAGGCTTTTTTCGGTTGTTGACTTTTGGAAAAACAGCTGAATTTGTAAGATTCAACCTTGATTTTTAAGACGCCAAATCTCCTGGTCCAGAAGTAAAAAGCCATTTTGGGGTGTGTAAAAACAAGGTGTTTTGTATGTTTTTTAGGGCGTTCTTGTGGTAATTTTGCATTATTTTGGGAGATTTTAACGGTTTTTTCGTATCCCCAATTTTTGATTTTTGGTGTCACATATTTCGGTACTTTTGGGGTGGATAAAAGTTAATGCTTTTTGACAGGTTTTAGGCCTTTTTTGGTTGTTTGCTTTTGGGCTACTAAGATTAGTTGTCTAATAAAGACTGGACATACGACTGATAGAAAAACAGACAGATAGACAGGCGAAAATGAGAGACTTATTTTTTCGTACTATAAGTGTCATAAAACATCAAGAAATCATAAAAGGAGTCAATCACCAAAACTAGGCTACCTACCTCCTACTTGTTTTCAATTTGTTATCAACATTTATAATGGATTTCTTGTAAATTTCCTCCCTGGAACTTCCGTTTGACGGAATAGCCCTGGAAAATGTTTCAAACGGCTGCTGCCCGATGTTGAAATCACATGAAGCAGCTTTAATACAACAGTGTACAAGTCAAACAGCCTTGGAATCTGTCACATTCATAATCATCCACAACTGTGCAACAATAACGAAACCTTTCCAGTTTTAGCGCATCAAAATGCGAAACTTTTTATATGTAATAGACTAATAGTGTTGGTTACGATTTATACTGGTGGTAAGATTAACAGTAGGACGATTTTCCATTTACTATTTTATTCTGCTAGCATTGGCTGTACAAAAGTGTCACTATAGTCAACAATATATTGTGATGGCAAGTCTTGCAAAAGTGACAGTGTTCAACTCTGTCGTGAGGTACTACCAAATGTGAAGTATTACCTCTGTGAGCACCGAAGAAATAAAACTACCGGTAAATATAACAACTACCTATTGTTGATGATGCTACTGTTAGTTGATATTGTTTACATTTTCTTAAAAAGTTTTGTAGTGCCTCTCTCAGTCTACTATCAAGTTTAGCTGCTTTAGCTGCAGATGAAAGATGAACCTGTCTCGTTAAAATAGTAAAACACCTGCATTACAATAACAGTTCTAATAAGGATATTAATATATTTATCTATGACATCTATAACACTTTGCAATCAATTGCAGTTGTTCCAACTTGTGGACCAAAATCCTATTATTCATTATGTAATAACATTAATGATAGTAGTTTTGACATTTTGATATTATCAGTACATTATTTGTATTGATTTTTGTTTGTGTTCGATGTCAACACGATATACTTGCGTAACATCAGTGTTTAATGTTTACGAAAGATTCACAATGCACAAAATATGTAAATATGATAAGAAGATAAAAATTAGCCATTATGCGTCTTCATGCGTATTGTAAAAAACTGGTCTAATTATTATTTAAACAAAACTTCCTTTATCCCTTAACCACACTAACCGGCAAAAAAAACCGGCCACCCTGAAAAATTTCGCAAAATCACTTTAAAAATTGTTAATTTAACTAGTGATCGTTATTTTATTAAAGAATCATTCACTATTGACACATGATGTACAAATTAGCAAAAAAAGAAGACAAATAAAGGCAGAATTAAATTTAATTTAACAAAATAACAGAAACAGACCAAGTACGATATTTTCTTAATTAAAACAGTAAAGGAGGCTGTTGTTGTAAATAGTGTTTTTCATCATTTGATTATAAGTTTGACAGTTAATAAACGTTTTCAAGCGAAAACAATGTCGTTAACTCTTACAGACGTCTCTCAAATTGTCACTCTGTTTCTGTTATTTTAAAGTTTGATTTTGCGAAATTTTTCAGGGTTGCGGATTTTTTTTTGCCAGTTAGTGTATAATAATCAAACAAATCCAGTTTCTTAGATAAATTATATCTAAAATGTTGTTATACAATTTTTTACTATGCGAAATTTTGAGATGGCGTTATCGAATTGTTGATCAGCGTTTCATGATCTACAGGTATTCCTAAGTCTATATAAAATTTCGCAACAATCAGTGTAGTAGTTTCAGATAATATATGTCTAATAAAATCGGGAATAAACTCCAGACGACAGGCAGACGGAAGCGGGAGACTAATTTTTTCATATTTTAGGTGTCTTAAAACTTTAGGAAAACATGAAATTACCCATTTACTGGATATACTGTATTACAATACTTCCCTAGCTTACGTTTGGGGAATGAAAAGTACCGTTTTATCAAAAATACAGGTTTTTGGCAAATATCTACCACCGATTAAATATCTAAAAATTAGATTTGCAATATTTAAATAATAGAATAGAATAATACTGAGCATGAGCTCAAGACAAGTGGCCAATGTCTTATTTAATTCAGTGTAAAACTGGGTTTTAAAGTGGTTTACACTTTTTGACCAATCCTTCAAAGATTTCTTTGCAACCGAAAATTTAACTACGACAAAAAATTTAAAGAAAGCCGTTATCA